ATAAATCGAAATAATGTAATTGATAATTAATATACAAATAGCGATATATATACATATATATACATGTATATACACTCACCTCAGGGTTGCTCCAGCGGTGCCCGATGCCTCTCCAAGGCCTCCTCCTCCTCTCAGATTGTCAGGAAAATCCATTGATTAACACGCGCGAGACTTTTAACGACACCCCCGCACTTATACGCGCGATACTTTTAACGACATTCCCGAATTTTACATTGTCTGTAACATACAAATAAAAATCTAAATTATAGCAACATTCAAGTTAATTATTATTTCAAAAATGTATATACCTAATTATAATAATATAATTTATTAATTAAATAATATATGCATATAACATATAATATAATTATAAATAATATACATATAAATAATATATACATATAATATACATTTGTATTAATTAAATAATATATATATATACACTCACCTCAGAGTTGCTCCAGCGGTGCCCGATGCCTCTCCGAGGCCTCCTCCTCCTCTCAGATTATTAGGATCCGTTGATTAACGCGCGAGACTTTTAACGGCACTCCCGCACTTGTACGCGCGATATTTTTAACGACACTCCCGAAATTTACATTGTCTGTAACATACAAATAAAAAATCTAAATTATACCAACATTCAAGTTAATTATTATTTCAAAAATGTATATATCTCATTATAATAATATAATTTATTAATTAAATAATATATGCATATAACATACAATACTATAATTAAATAATATACCTACACATATAAATAATATGTACATCTAATAATTAAGATATATTAAAAATAATATTAAATATATTAATTAAATAAAATAAATATAATTAAGATATATTAAAATAATATTAAATAAATATATATTAATAGCAAACTTTTTACCTTTTTATATATTAGTATAGATATGTATATTATTTAATTCAATTTTATATTTAATTATATTATATTTAATTAATTATTAATTATATCGTTTAATTATATTATTTAACGTTATTGTGTTGTATATAAATATCTGTAATTCTATTATTATTTAAAGGGGATATATTGCGCAATATTATTCTTACGATACTTGTGTTATCGTGAGCCTTATATAAATTTCATGTTATAAACAATAATGGCGTAATTTCTCTTGTACACGCCTCGCGAAAAATTGGAGGGAACATTGGCTATCCAGCCGGAATGAGGGACATGAAGTACTACGATACGCAGAATAGCGTACATCAGCGCTATGTAATATCCTCGCAAACGGTAGCTCAAGCTTCCATCCACTTCCCTCAAATACGCTTAAACCAGCGGCAGTCTAGCGCGTTTACGTAATGCATGAATGGAACATTGCGTTACTAATACATGAATTCCTTTCCTACAAGAGAATCGTGTGAACCTGAAAATTCTGATTACCGTCGAGTTTCACGGTTCTATCTATAGTTTACTACCATATTACGCTATTAACGTGCTAAAGAAAGAAAAGAGTGCATTTATAATCCATTCAGATTATTAAATTTGAAACCGTGACTTCATTTTCATTATTAAATATTTTATAATTTTTTTCTTTGTGACAATTGCAAGAATAAACACTCATAAGATAAATTATTTGCGAAAAAGCAGTTCTTATTAAATTACTATTCTGAAATGCTAAACGCGTTTTTATAAAAATTTCAAATAATATATTTTTTACACACATTTCGTTGTATCTTAAATATGGTAATTTTGTACCTCCTTTTTGCTTAAAAGAAACAAAAAAGATTTGAAGATATTACGCGACACGTGTACAAAAATTCTTTTTGTCACAAACACGTGCTATCAACCTAAGAACGTCCCTTTTGCAGAACATAATATTTATTCGTCCGACCCGTTCTCGTCTCGAGGGAGAAATTTTTAAGGGATCGCCGGACGATTTAGGAACGTGTTGCACGTTTCCTACGTGCAGGTTTCTTTCATCGGCTGACCCTCATATACAGCCAAGGTCCTAACTGCGTACTATTGTCCCTAGAGTACGAAGACTCGGTACGTGTCGAAGAGCAGCAATGGTTCGGCGAACTTGGACAAATATTTCGTAAATGCGCGTGCGATCGATCTCTCACGTCCGAAACACATCTAGGAACGTACGACTGATTTCGCCTATCTCGAGTTTGTCGAACTTGATTGCCGCTATTCAGGTACGCCGTTGGAATTGATCACGAGCAGCCCGAATTTGCCCCTTGCAGTGCCAATTACAATTCTATTATTAAAAAGTCGAAAGCGGGACGGCCATTTGCGATCTCAATTTGCTTAACGACTCTGATGCAATTTACGCTTTCCATATATACACATATTTCGTATAGTAGTTATAGTAGTTACAGATTCTGATTGCCTTCCATGCGTAATTTTGGAATATATAATTCTAAGAATTGCTTTTTTTTTCCTTCAACGTCTAAAATATTTTTAAGTCTTTATCATTTATTTTATCATTTATCATTTCAGACAATTGTAAAAAATTGTTTTCAAAAATTGATAAGAAGAAGATATTTTTAGTCTTCTGCATCTGGGCAAATTCTACTGCGTGATGAAAAGATTGATATAATTCTAGAATAATTACTCATTCTTCGATGAACAGTCGTGTGCAATATAGCCTTCTTCGATGAGCAGTCCCTCCTGATAATTCAGCAATTCCGCGACGATCTTCGATGTTCCTCGAGTCCTCAATGTATGGGCGATGCTCACTGAAAATTCACACACGTAAATAATGTGCAAAATGTGCGTAAAACGCGCAAAATAATATATTTAAATAATTTAATTTAAATATACATATATATTTAAACGCTATCGATTTCGAAAATGGGTCGTGATATCGAAGCAATCGATATATCGATTATTAATATAATATAATTATCAATCGGGGAAGATAAATTCTTTTTATTCAATTACTACATTATCGACTGTAAATTCACTCGGTAAATTTATCGCGCGAGACAACAACGTGAAAATTCTAAGCCTCAACATGGCGCGTGCGCAGATATTTGGCGGAAAAGTATCGCGGACAAATACCTTCGATGCTCCTCGATGCTCCTCGATGCTCCTCGATGCTCCTCGATGCTCCTTGATATCATGAATGCTGAATGATACAGCTTGTCAGACGAGCATCCATCGAGAAATATGCACGTATCGGAAGATGTAGCTGCAACAGAACGTGAAATAAGTCGATCACATATACGACCAAAAAACGCGATTAAACGCGGTTACACAGGCCGATTAATACGCTGAGATTATTACCTTTCGCTAGAATTGACGCTCTCGACGTTCGTCCGTGTGTGAAATTCGCCCGGGACGGATTAAAGGACGCGAAAATGCGGAGCGATCGCGGTTCACTGCACACCGACGCGACGTGCAACTTCAAGTGACGAGTTGGCTCGACAATTAGTCACGTGACCGCGGCTAATTTCGCGGCACTACGCGACGAGTCAACATGGCGGACTCGCGGGCGCGGACTTTTGGCGGGAGAGTGTCGTGGACAAGCGCGACCGCTTATGTCAATGAAGTCGTCGGGGCGACGAATTACGTACCTTCGATGCTCCTCGACGCTCCTCGATGATCCTCGATGCTCCTTGACATCGCTAACGTTGAATGGCAGGGCTTGTCGGAAGGTGTAGCTGTCCTGGAACATAAAATGCATCGATCACATATATGAGCAAAAAACGCGATTAAATGCGGTTGGACAGATCGATTAACACGCTGAGATTATTACCTCTCGCTAGAATTGACGCTCTCGACGTTCGTCCGTGTGTGAAATTCGCCCGGGACGGATTAAAGGACGCGAAAATGCGGAGCGATCGCGGTTCACTGCACACCGACGCGATGTGCAACTTCAAGTGACGAGTTGGCTCGACAATCAGTCACGTGACCGCGCGGCTAATTTCGCGGCACTACGCGACGCGCGGAAAGCGCGAAATAATTTTCTAGTGATATACAACACTGTACATATATGTAGCATGTAATGTATGTATATATTAATCATTCAACTTCTTTTCTATATAGTAATTTATATATTAATGTATATATATTAGGATCATTCCTCGATAAAACTCCGATTAATTATTGATTAAAGGATTGTCAACATGACAAAATTTCGTCATATTGGCAATTGTATGTTTGGCGCCAAAAATACAATTACCAACATGATAAAATTTTGTCATGTTGGCAATCCTTCAATTGGCGGTAAAGTTAATCAAAGCGTGATCGAAGTGACCCTTAGTAATTCAACTTAATTTGTATAATTATTTTTATATAAACACACACACACGTATGTGTATTTATAACCTATTTATATTAAATAATAATTAACATAATTATTATTTAATATAAATATTATCATAATTATATAAAAAAGATAAATGAGTTAAATTATTTGTAATAAAATTATTTTATATTTTTTATTGGTGAGAAACGCGAACATATTCGCACAAAAATTAATAATAATGTTCAATGTTGGAAATAAGTACGTTATTTTTTAATTAATAGGCATATGCAATCATTATTATGCATAATATATAGATGCATGAGTCTATTTTAAATATTTTCAACTTATGTGAGAAAACATGTTCAGTGTACATAATATACATTATATTGTAAAAAGAAATAACAATATATGTATGTTTCTTTAATTTTATATATATATATATATATGTATATATATAATCCAATTAATATAATATTTAAAATAAAATAAAATAAATCTAAGTACAAATGCTTCAAGTAATATAATAATACACGATAAATATCTATAAAATTTTGAAAATATAATTATATAAATTTAATTAAGAAATAATAATTACGCCAATAAAATACATAATTGCTTTTTTTAAAAGAACAATATATTGTTTCACAATAATTCTGTATATATTTAATGTATGCATCTACGTATCTTACATAAACAAAATAATATTATTTTGTTATACGTACAATATTATTGAATGAATTATATAAGTATCATTCACGATGATATGTATTTTTGTTACAGGGAATCTATTCGTAATAGCAGCTATCCTATTAGAAAGAAATTTGCAATCTGTAGCAAATTATTTAATCGTGAGTTTGGCTGTCGCGGATCTTATGGTCGCCTGCCTTGTTATGCCTCTCGGAGCTGTTTATGAGGTACGTAATTCATTGTATTTTTATTAAAGAAGACTGCAAGTTGTTGTCATGCAATCTATGTGCATCGTAACGTATTGTATTGCGTGATAAGAAAACGTGTACAATAAAGTTTTTAGTATTGGATACACAAGAATATAAAACCGCAATATTCATGAAAAGAAAACGATTCGCATCTTCACCTTCAGCATTGTCAGTGTATAAAATAACTGACATTTCAACACAGAAATATTTAGTTCAACAATATCGAAATATCTTAGATATTTATACATACATCTAAAATTGCACAATAAAATTATAATAAATCAATCGCATTTAAATTAAGTTTCAAAAATAAATTAGCGCGCTGCAGATCCGCAGATTTATAACATTTAAGATATCTTGGACAAGATGTAATCGCAGTTATGTTATAGAACACGTGTATCGCAATTTTACATTTTATGTATGTCATTTTATGGTAACCTACATTTACGAGGTAAAATTTTTGTGCGAAATTTTCGGCGGAACAGTCAAGCTGTTGGTCATTCTCTTCGCACATAGAGGATCGTTCTCTCTTCGCGCGTTACATTTTCATTGTTAAACTTTCATCTATGGTCCGTTGCAGCCATTCACAAGTTTATAACATCCGTAAGAAACCGCGTGCATTCTCGTCTTTTTCTACTGCGGGTTTATTTCGCGCGAACATTGTGTCTGGGAAAAAAGTCGCACGTGAAAATGTATCTTCCGAGAATTTGGCACACAAAACTTTTTAAATGCCAAATTATTTTAGTTTGGAGAATTTGTTAATTATATATATATATATATATATATATATATATATATATATATATGTACTAATTGCGAAATGAGAGGGAAAAAATGCATCAACTGCGACAATTTATCGGGACTCGAAAGCTCCATAAAATGTTCTCGCAAAATTTCACTAAAGATATGCGAAAAATATGCGAAACATATAAATATATGCGAGGAAAAATTTAACAATGATTTATTAAAATAAAAATTGCAATCATGAAAATCGCGATAAAATTTATAATTGACTACGTAATTATGATGAAATACATGAAATATATTCAGCAAAGCTCGTTTTATCATATATGATGTGCCACATTCAAGTATTCAACGTTACATTTCGAGAAATTAAGAATAGAATGCGCGAAACTTTAATATATATTTTATAAAAGTCGACTTTTAGAATTTTATACCACGCGAAAATGGTATATATATATAATGTTTTATAAATGCCATAATCTTAAATATAGTGCATTATCATTAAAATATCGCGATCGCGTATGCAACTTTTAAAAGCTAAAGCAATTTTCTATATGGAGGTGTCTCTTTTTGAATCCAGCATAAACAGGAGCATTGGAGAACGTCGTTACATGCATACATATTCAACAATTAAGATGCGAATAATCCGCACACGTACGGAGATAACAAGCGATATATACGTACGAATGATTAGCTTTCGATTCTCCCCTAGCGGAGCTCGTTACGCTACGCCGTGCACATTTATACTTAATAAACGTTAATATACGAACGGAAACGAGAACGGAATGGGAATAACATAGGCGTTAATTACTGCTCCGTGCTGCTTTTCGACACGTTATCCAATTAACAAAGATTTCATCGGAAATTGCCACGAGAGCGATAATACGCTTGAGCGCGACCACTTCACTATATCTTCAAATATACAATTCAGTTTTAATACGCGCGTTTTAATTTCGCGCTTTTTAAGTACTCTCGAAATATTTGGCTAATTATCCGCGTCGATGATGCGAATTTAATTAGAATCTTTGTAAGAAAAAATTTCCAAAAACTCGTACACTATATCCATTTAGTTTAATTACGCGCATTATTTCTCTTCGTGCACTCGCAAAATCTTTTCCCTAACACATCTATCCTTATTCAGTTCTTTCGATTTCTTAACGCATCTCGCCAAACACTCTGCAGGCTCCATTATGTATCCTACATCAGCACTCTTTTCCTTCCCTCATTCCACTTTTTCTTTATATTATATTTCCACACTCTCGCCATATTTTCCGAAGCGCACCTGTGATTCTTTCTTTTCACTTTTCAGCAGCGTTGAATGACTTCCTCTTGCTTCCTCTCTCTTTCTTCGTTTCTTTTCCTGAGTTCTTTTAAATTTACTATTGTTAACGTATCGGTATCTTCTTTCTGTTATCATTTTTGATGATGCAATTCCATTTCAACCGCCATTCGACCAACAGCAGACGTATTAGACTTTTACGGTCGTATACCGACTAAACTGGATGAGCATATCCATCTTTTTCACGTAGGAATTTATGCGTCTGCCATTTAATTCGAATATTTGATGGATGTCCATTTTACAGCCATCTCTTTTGCCCGACATTTATCGGCAGATATCAGAACCGTGCACGCAAACAACTCCATCAGCTTCATATATACATACATGCAACGGTTGATTAGATCTTTGAGAAAGTCTAAAATAAAAAGAATTGCTAAGGAACGCATTAGGAATAATTTTACTTATTCTATTATATCAATATCAATTACTATTAATAATCAATTAATTACAGAAATAAAATAGCTTAAATCTATTTTTTTTTATTTTATAATGTTATCATGAGCATTAAATGTAATAGAGAATAATTTAATGTACACGATATAACCAACTTGTGCACAAATAATAATTTCCTTAATAATTTTACACAAAATTACATATTACTACCTTTACCGTGAATCTCGAGCGATCTTCGTTCATCCAAAACTGCTCCCACATCGTACTTCCGTATAATTGATATTATTTTTGAGAGATGTTTATATTTCTGGCAAGATGGATGAGACTCATCGACTTCCGGAATGTTCTGATCTCAAAGTATAAAGGAACGGATGTCTATGGACGGAAGAGCCGCTGAAAGGAGGACAAGAGACGCGCGCGATTGGCTTTCGAAGATAGATTCCAATACCATGAATGGACTTTTAAGCAGGCATGCATCAGAGTCTCCCTCCTCTCTCGAGCGGGCTCTTCTACAATATCACTCTTACCCGACTCCCTTTCTGTGCTCTCCGTCGTCGGCCATGACTCGAATGTTTTCCCTTTCGACCCTCAATCCGTATTTTCTCCCTACTGCGTGGCAAACTGTCGTGCCAAACTATGTGCAATCCTTAACATACTAATCAACCAAACAATCTTTGTTAGCGCGGATAAAAGTAAATTCCATTTACTCGATCTTTGTGTAAAAAAAAAACTGATTTTTACATATGTATAAACATATCGTACAGATAAAATAATTATATATATAATATATATTAGATAATATTTTTGATATATATTATACAATATATAATATATATAATATATTATATAGATAATATTTTTGAGGATGACTATATATAATTATGCAATATAAAATAATACCGATGAAAAGCTGGTAATTAAAATTAATTTAATCTATCAATTTTTCTTGCTTATTAATTATACTTTGACTTCTTTTAATATTTAGATGATAATAATTATTAACTGTCGCAGCGTCATATTTTTAATTCTGCAAAAATGTGTATACATATTCATAAACATATCGTACAGATAAAATAATATTTTTGAGGATGAATATATATAATTATGCAATATAAAATAATACCGATGAAAAGCTGGTAATTAAAATTAATTTAATCTATCAATTTTTCTTGCTTATTAATTATACTTTGATTTCTTTTAATATTTAGATGGATAATAATTTTTAGTTCTGCAAAAATATGTTTAAAAATTATTTTTATGGTTGAAATAAAAATGACAAAGAGGAACAAAAAAAATCATATTCGATGAGTGATCGTTTCAGGCTAACTTATCTCGAAACACTTTGGTGCAAAACTTGCGATTCTCGCGGCCACATCGATTATCCGCTTGTGCTTTCAAGCCGCGCTAAGCTCACGTTACTATGATAGATAATTCTGTTTATTGCAGATAAACTCGGGATGGTCACTCGGTCCGGAGCTCTGCGACATGTGGACCAGCAGCGACGTTCTATGTTGCACAGCCTCGATATTGCATCTGGTGGCTATCGCGGTCGACAGATATTGGGCAGTCACCAATATCAATTATATACAGGTTAATTAACGCCGTTGCGGTTACTGAGAGGAAGTCGGAAATTGTCCGATACGAATGATACAGTCTTCGTTATCCCTTGTCATTTACATCGCGCTCGCCACGTCGACGAGATGGAAAAAGAGTCGCGTGGGAGTTGACGCGAGCAAGATCGGATGAAACTGCATGTCGCATATCCTAGATCTCTCGTACAGCCAGGAGACCCATTGTATTATATGATGCGGGAAAATATCATTTTATCACTTCGAAAATAGCGTATATAAAATCTGAATATAATCTGAATAGAAACGCGAAACCACGTGCATTACAAAAGAAAATTTTTTTATGTTTGTTAATCCTTTCGCATTTAGAAATGCATATTCATTTTATATCAAATTGCACATATACGTGCAAAAATTGATTTAATTTTTTACAATTTTCTTTTATATTGTATTTCAAATTTTTTTAGTTTAAAGCGCGAACAAATATTGCTTATTTTATACATTTACCTATAAAGATAAAATGGAAATTCCATTTTTTTATATTAAAATCTACAAAAAAGTATTTTAATACACTCAACTACATTTACTATGCGAATAAAGTTCCATAAAATCATTCATAAATTTTTGTTGAAAATTGCGCGAAGACAAATTTCCGCTCTCTCTCTCTTTCGCGCACGCTTATGGATGTAACGAGAATTCATATGAAGGGAATACTGCTCATGAAGTATGAAAAAGGGTAAGATCGTAAAACGGAACGGTCAGAACTTCCCGTTCATAAATATAGTTTAACCGAGAGACGAGTATGTATACTCTCGACGTAATACTCTCTTTCGAAGAGCTTAGAGTTAGTTGAAAATTAACTTAGAGCTTGACAAGCTACGCAACGGACAGCCCAGTTGAACTTGAAGGCTAACTTGCATTTCCTAACTGATAGAAAGAGGCTGTTATATCGGTCCCTAAGGTTGGGGTGGATCGATTACGTTATAAATAATGAAACGGGCGAGGAATTAGCTTGAGTCATGTGTCGACCAAAGAGATACGCTGATAAAGCAGACATTCACAATTTTCTCGAACGAACGAACTAATATGCCCACCTATTTTTCTTCCTCTTTTTCTCTCTTTTTAAGAAAAAAACTTTACGAGCAGATCTAATTAAAAGTTTAATTTTCTCTGATACAAGACAGTGTTCTTATAGTAATGTACCAAGTCTTGTGGAAGATGTAAAATTTATCGAGCTAATAAGAGATCTCAATCATCTAATAACAATCAAGTTCCGTGATTTATTTCTGAATTTCTGAGATTTAGTAACAATGAAAATATTTGTAACAATATGAAATATACACGTTATACAGAGTGTCCCATAGGAAATTGCTGACATTAATCAGCTGTCATTTTTTAATGCATGTAGTTATTGAGAAAACAAAAATTATGTTGAAAAAAAGAAAGTCTACAATTTTTAATAGACAAATAAAATGTTTGTATAAGTTTATTTTATTGAAAAAAAGTAATTATTGAAAAAAGTGCTAATAATCACCTAAAAAGTGACAGCTGATTAGTTTCAGCAATTTCCCTATGAGACATCCTGTATATATCGACTACGCGTAAAAATAAACGAAGAATGTATCTCGAATGTTTAAACGACGTCTAAGAATGCAATAATCAATGCGATAGAAACTCGGAAAAAAATTATTCCGAATCGACGAAATAACACTAAGTCGTTAAAAGCATCCCTTCTATTTCAAGGCGAGGAATCCGAGAAGAATCGGGAGCCTGATCATCGCTGTGTGGGTGATATCCTTAGGAATCTCATTAGCGCCTCAGCTCGGATGGAAGGATCCTGATTATTTGGATCGCATAGCCCAAGGGACGTGTCTCGTATCGCAGGATACTGCATATCAGGTGAGCGCTTCCGGAGAATTGCAAACGGATCCGAAATGTTTAATTATATTCACGATTGCTAAGCTTCCGGTGGAATTGCCTGGGAAGGTATCGATAAAGTTTCGAGAAACGTTAAAAAAAAAAACGCGAATTATTTTTCATCATACCTATGATTTTGTTGTCTCTTGCAAAAATTGTAATACAAAATATCTTCACATAAAGATATATTTTTCTCAGGGGATGAATGTCGCTTTATAAAAATTTCTAAACTATATATAACTGTCAAATACTTGAAAATCTAAAATATATTTTATTTTTTCACGCGTCGCACACATCAGCCTAAAAGAAGAAAATATATATGATAAATTGCCTCCACAGATCTTTGCCACTTGTGCGACGTTCTATCTTCCGCTCCTAGTCATCTTATTCCTATATTGGAGGATATTTCAAGCGGCGAGAAAAGGATCAGGAAGAGGCCTGGCACTATCCTTCAACCACCACGTGAAAGAAGAGGCATCCTGAGGCTTGTCACGAGAAGGTAGTTATAGGTTTTTTGCCCCTCTTCTCTGCTTCCTTATCACGAGAATTTTTTCTCAAACAATAATCAAACATGTTTCACGGCAATTTTGTATACAGTTGCATTTTTCATAGTTGCAATAAACTTGAGGGGCTCGAGGGGTAACAACGCGCTAAAGCCACGTAGAATAAATCTCGCAAACGAGTTGTTGAGAAATGACGTAAATCCTTCACGAGATTTAGTCTGCTTCCCTATATCTTGCCAAGGACACAATTTTTTGCAGGGATCATAATTTAATCTATAAATAAGTATTCTTAACGCGCAGTATTTTATCTCAAGCGGCTTAGCATATTTTAAGCGTTTTTATCTCAATGGCCAGTGAAGTGCAGATCTTTGCTACGAACACAAAGGTATGAGTTTACCTGTTGATCTGTCGCAAAAAGGATATTATCACTGCTTAATAATTCCGTATTTTTAAGCTCTATTGCCTTTAAAATAGATTGTGCTTGATAATTAAGCATGAATCATTATGAAAAAAATTCCTGCGATAAATCACTTATAATTAATATTATATTTGCTTTTAAAATTTTTTTCAATAAGTGTTATTATTTATTTTCACTGTAATTATTTATTTCCATATAAGTGTATCGTACTTTCTTTGCTTTCTATTTTCTGCTTTCTAAATAATTTGCCTAATTATTTATCTCACTTCAAAATATCTCAACAATGTATTCATAAACTGACCTCATATATATCATATTGTATATTATTTTCTCATTTAATTCGCTCATATTCCATTTGTAATTTGATGTCTCTCGCAGTTATTAAAAGTATATGTCACTATTTCCCCAGAAATAATATATACAGCTTTATATGTAGCTATCATCGTTCCACCACTTCTACTCGAGGCAATTTTCATAAAAATTCTTAATATCGCTGACGTCAGCATTATTCTTGCGATATAACGAGCCGGCGCGACGACGAAAGATGATCATCTTTAACTCTGATTTATCTTCGGCCGCAGGCCGCGCGAGGAGTCGACGGCGTTCACCATCACGAGATCCACCCCGGATCACTCGTCCATCTCGCCGGAGAAGTCGTCGTCGTACAACGGGGCGAACGTCACCCCGTCGACGACGGTGACGCCGACGGCGGTCTCAACGACGACCACCACGACGACGCTGACGAATCCGACCAGCACGAGCCAGCAGCAGCAGGTGGTCAAGTGCACGAAGCGCACCCGCGAGACGATCGAGTCGAAACGGGAGCGTAAGGCGGCGAAAACCCTGGCGATCATCACCGGCGCCTTCGTCGCCTGCTGGTTGCCGTTCTTCCTGGTCGCTTTGCTGCAGGCCATCTGCGAGACCTGTGAACCGCCCAAGCTCGTGGCGAGTGTGTTCCTGTGGCTCGGATACTTCAACAGCACCCTCAACCCCGTGATTTACACAGTGTTCTCGCCGGAATTTCGGCAGGCATTCAAAAGGATGCTCTGCGGTGGTACCCGGGGACTTCGCTGACAGTGGATTTAATTCCTTTGCCACGTGCGCGCGCGACCCAATCAGAGGGATATGCGTGAAATTTGTACATACACGTTCGTTATATATCAGCGTTTCTCTCGGTGTTGTGTGATATCTGGATGCTCAATCTGAATATTATCACCTGCACTCGGTTACTTGTATAGCTAGATTCAAAAATCAACAATTATATTTTGTTTGATTTTGTTGGTATTTCATTAGGTCATCTCTCTCTCTTCGAAGAAACTTAACGAGAGATTGATAATTTTTTTAATAATATATAATGTTTATTTTTTTTTCAAAATTTTAGAATCATGTTCGTTTTTGTTCAATTCTATCATAGCATCTAATCACGACAGACGATATTCCACACAACACTGCTTCTTTTCAGCTATTCAAGATAATCAAGCTGAGCGCCGTTACTTTCATAGGTACTTTGAACAAATTATGGCCCATTGCCATAAATATTAGTTAAAATTAACTGAAATTTTACTCACGGCTAGCATTAATTATAGTTAATCGACAATGGTGAAAAGGATCCTACGTAGAATATTTTTGCGAAAACGCTTTCCTGATGAGCTATCGGAGGATCAAACGACAATGGTGCAACATTATTCGCGATTTTATTCAATCACTCGCAAAAATATCCAACGTTAGAATTTAAATATTCAAATTTATGAATTTAATTTGTTAGAATAGAAATCAGAGCACATTTTAACGCATAAACTGGCCGATACATGAATAGCTTATGTTAGGGAGAATTTTTATCGCTCAAAGAGAATGTAAGTTTAAGCTATGATCATAGATTCTTCTATTATAATGTAAAAATAAATAAACAAAGGGCTATATATGAGTATCTAAGTGATATAGGTGCTTAATTCATAAATTTTAAATATGTTATTTAAACAAAGAGTATAATGAGAGTTTGATGAGCATGTGAGTGACTCCGTCAAAAATTTTGTTTTAGCACCTATAGCATTTAGCCACGCATTCGTATAATTTATGAACATGTATAAATCGAAAAGTGAGTGAGACAAATCTTATATTTTTTCGTCCAGTGAAGATTCCTTAAAATACGCTCTGATAATGTGGAAAAATCGCGAGCAATGCTTGCTCCGATACGTAATTGTACAGTATTGTGTAAACATGCGATAGTGTTTAGCGATTATACTTCCGAGTATTATCATTAAAATAGCTATGTATAAAAATTTTCAATCTTGACTCGTCTCCAAAATATATACATAATAATGACAAATCTAAGTGTACATTAACTAAAGAGCGACGAAGCAAATACATCACGAGTAACTATGTGACCACGACGGATTCTCGCGGATCTGTTACGATTGTGTATAAATAAAACGTTTAAATAAGAAAGCGCAACCTCGACGCGCGTGTTAAAAAAAGTACATCTTACGCTTTTTAACTTGATTTGAGATTAACAATGCTTGGGAAATTTCTCAAGCGTAAAAGATTCTCGCCGCCTTATGAAGGTTTGCTTACGCAACTTTGTTCATACGGAGTTTTATAATAAAGAATAAATAAGATTCCGATGCAAGTAACAGAATTGAATAGAAAGGTTGGAACGTTATATGCAAGCAAATTTATTTTCACAAACAGTGTTAATGCGAACGCTTGATATATAGAATAAATAAAAGATGATTAATAAATATAATAAATATATAAACAACAGAGACATGATGATGTCGTAAAATATCGCGATCGAAGCTCATATCATGAATATTCTACTAGACTCATACAAAAAAATGTTTTTACATAAATTATCTGTATTTAAGGAAAAAATTAAATAACACTTGGAAATGTAATTTTAGCCTTGCCATTCAATTCTGCGTCTTATAGCGAATGTACTCCTTTAAATTTGCGTGAGTAATAATATAACATCTATACTATATGTATAGTATTACTATGTAATATGGTGGATATAATGTTTAATTTACAGAGCAACGACTGATTCTGATCTATGTCCATACTAAACGAATAGGAATTGACAAATATAATTCTTTTCATTTATAATGTCTATTTCCAAAAATGCCGAATAGTGTGCACGTGTATTCATTTATTTCTACATCTACTTACGAGCTATTGGACTCGCTATTTAGAAATAAATATAGCTCTAGATTAATCATAATAATATGTTAGGCAGATTGTGATAAACGGCGACAATAGCTTTTTCTTCGTCGGAAATAATAAGATTTTGTTTCATCAAATTAATTTTCAAATATACACAAATAAGATAATATGCTTTCTTTCCTACTTTTAGAAAGTTACACAAAAATAAGAGATATTTGCAAATTTATTTTTATTTTACACTTGTGATAATTTTATTTTAATAATTGTTACATAATAACTTTCTTTTAAAGTAAAAAACATTTAATGAATATATAAATATTAAATATAAAAATATACACGGACAAAAGTAAATGTCAGTAGTAAGCTGAGAAAGATCAGTTAAATCACTTTAATTAATTTGTGAGCAAATTCTTCTTATTTCTGACGGCATTGTTGCTGAAATAATGACGGCAATATCAGATACGCTTGCGCTATCTAATTATGTCAGTAGTCGTCGTTCTATTCACACGACATGATTAAAATAACGTTTTGTTCGTATTAATTTTTTACGTAAAATCTCCAAACGGAAGAACAAAACGTTGTCCGCCGAGCATTTTTACCAGCAGTTTCAAATAAAAAATCTCATCAGCAATAGCTTGAAAAGAGCAAGGAAAGAAATTAATTTACAGCTATTTTTATTACAAATATTAAAGTGCCACAAAAAATTATAAGAGCAAATTATAAAACCAAATTGTATAAGAGTCATTAATTTATGTTTCATGTGAACGTAATTTAATCAAGTCTAAAAGAATCAACATCGATAATGCTTAGTAATTAGTTAAAGGATCGATAATGCCGCTCGGTTACTACACAAATAATGTTTGATGCGGTTAATACTCATTAATAACGTTCTGTCAAAGTGCCACAACAAAATTGATCGTAAACTATTTGTATTTGTGATGATATACTTGAACGATATACACGACAAAATGTTCAGCGGATAACGAGATATCGGGTTGATCATGTAACCCTTGTAAATCGAAACAGTCATCGATCGCTCAGTAACACCGCTTTCCGCAAATATTGTTTCGTTATATAAGCGACACGAGCAGATTCTGATAAAGAATTATGAGCATGTACAGGAACGTGTTCGTAAGAAAATATCAAGATGAAACGAATATAATGTCGGTGAGAATATTAGCCAGCGAATTAAATAAGACCACTAATTATTCAGACGATAATTTGTTGACATAAATGCCAAGTATGTTCACTTGAAGTCTTATGCGGAAGCATCAAGGAAAGACGAAATGAGAGAGAGAGAGAGAGAAGAAAGTGCGAAAAAGCAATAGAGAAAGAAAAAATGAAGAGTTATAGAGAAGGAAAGAAGTATTATTTACAACGATGCTTCATGTGTATATATATCCTTGCAATCATAAAGTGAAATAAATGACGGAAAAAAGTTTGAAGAAAGCTTGAATGCTATTTCATGTATATTTATACTGTCTACACACACACAAACCTCAGTCTGTTTCAGTGGATTTATATATGAATTGTCGCAGAGGTAATGTTGTTCCTTACTTTATTTCATTCATTTTTATTCACTGGCCATCTAACTTTTTCAATTATCATTTATTACTTGTAAAATATCTTTTCAACTCCTATAAAAAAAAAGAAAGAAAAATATCTAACAATAAGTAACGTCTGAGAGACTGAAACTCACGTTTGTATTTTATATCTCTAAATATGACTATTCTCGGAGATATTAAACAAATGTATCATAATCAAAAAGAAATCTAGAACTCGTTTTAACAAAGTTGTTATACAGTTTTTTAAAAATTTCCATTAGTCCATTACATAAAATTTTGCAGCTAAAATTTAAAAATATAACGCGTGATATTTTGTTTACAGTATTTCAGAAATTCGTTTGTGTATCTACGAATTGATTTGTTATGCTGCGACATCAAGATCATCATGGAATATTCATCGATGCAATTGAAAGATTCCAAATAATGAACGGTATATATATTCTATCCTTTCACGTATCAATCCAAATATTAGACTGCAAAAATACATAAAAACTAAGAAATGCATTAATGTGTCTTTTTTATTAATCACATGACACTTTTCTTCGTATTATACGTATATAGAATATTGCAAAATTCAGAATCAAATTCTTTGGCAGTATTATACAAGTTATTATATAAAAATCATAATAGAAAAATAGTGCGAATAATGTAACTTATTGTTCTCTTTAAATTATAATTTTTATTTAAATATATTATATATAAGAAATATTTTAAATTTAATTAATTAAATTTAAATTAAAGTGAGAAAAAGATATCTTAAAATTCCTGAACATAAAAAATGGCGTGATTAAAATTAAATGACTATACATTTAATGACTTGTTCTTATCTTATATTAGAACTAGTATTACCTAAATATAGGCAATACATGACTGAAAATCTATACATTCAGCCTGCTATTTTTGTTCCATTTAACCTTTTAAGAAATTATACGCCGAGTAAGATAGTTTGAGAATCTGCAGATAAGATGATTCGCTTATTAATTATTACTGTTAGAATTTTAACATTAATTTTATCTAATTTTGGATACTAACGTTCATAAAAGATTCGGTGGTTAAAGTAACCAAGTAACCACTCGACATTTTAACAGGTTTACCAGCACGTACCATTATTATCATAAGATCTTTCATTACTCGGACTCTTAAAGTCGTCCAATCCATCTCATAAATAGCAGTGCCGACATCGGTACTCTATGAGAAATTAATTGAAATAATCATTATTAATTAATTAATATAACATATGTACTAATTAAAAATTTCGACGTAATATTATTTTCAAAACTACTTTTTTCAATTTCCTCCTCCTTTTAGCTGTAAAATTATTTTTTAATGTTTCAAATTTTACATATTTATTAAATAATTATTAAAGTAATTAGAATGAAATACATGTGAATTTGAAAAACTAAAAAATACTATCGAACCACTTAATTATTTCTCTAAAGAAAAAATTAAATTTATGTTTTGATAATTAAGAAGGAATATTAAAATTATAATAACCAATATCATCGAATAATAATGAATAATTGTAAATAATTGTTAGTACATTTTATAATCACTTTAATTTGAAACACTATATTCTAATTAAATAAGGATTTATAGTATCATGTCCTGAGTGTTTGAAATAAAAAAAAATAAATATATAGATGCAGTTACGCATCAATAACATCTAAAAATAGATTTCTACCTTTAATGTCAATTCGTTGCCATACCAGCAATAAAGAAATATTTGAGTGAGCATGGAGCACAAATAAGAAAATATGTATGCAAAATCGAGGTTGAATAATGATGTCATTGTAGATAATGTGTAGACACTCATGCAGAGGACTAAAGAGATGAGAGAAAATTGAACGAACATTATCACTGTAAAAACTGCATTGACCATGCGTGCGAATCTGTAGGTTTATATAAAGTTTCTGTTATTATTTCCATAAATTATTAAATAATTTATTCTATATATATATATATATATATATATATAAAGTTAACTAAGAAAACTAATTAGAGCAAGCGGACAAATTAAATAGCACGATAATATTCAATTGATAAACTCGATTAATTAAGTTATATTAATTACGTAAAAATATAGTTAACAATTTAATAAATATGTATATTTTTATCATTAAAAGTAGTGCGAATAATATATAACTACGAGGGATTAAAATTCTCTTCCTATCTTTTTAATTGCCATAAATACTCACTTATAAATGTAAATATGATGATATATTAGATCGCGAATGATTGTTTTCTCGCGTACTATCAGATCCTCGTCTGACTGACTATTCTTTTCAGCTTCTGTCAGCAACGCCGGTAATATATGAGCACGATGGCACAGAATTTCGAATTGTGCGCAAGTTTGAATCATCATACCGGAAATTAGAGTCTCGTGCGCGACACTACAATTGGCGCAAAGGCACAAAACTACACATTGGAATATTAACATAGGCAAGAAGACATATATCGATGATAGATCGAAGGGCGCCCAGTTATACACAGGTAAGGTGCGCGTTTTCAGAAATATGTAAAATTGCACGAAAGTTGCACACATTGCGCAGGATTCATTGAGGATCTCGCAGGCAATCGTGATCTGTCTATAATTTTTTTTATCAATTATTAGCTTTTAAAATAAATCTAAAAAATTTAATTTATATTTACATATGCATATAATATAATTAAATTTTCTTAAATTATTGAAAACAAATTTATATAAATTACTTAAAAACTGTATAAATTAAAAATAAACAAAAAAAAGAAAAAGTCTACCTTGTGAAAAGACTTTATAATGTATCAGATACTTTTAAAAATTATTTTGCGAATAAAAACAAGAATAGAAAAAGAAAGAAAAAAAATTATATACAATTATTAATAAAATTATTTTTATTATCATAATTATTCACAATTACCTCGCGTGTCGATCAAATTTTTGTTTAATCAATCTTTCTTCTATATCTCTGGGAATACAATTATCCTTTAATAACATCTTGTCCAGTTCAATAATTTTTTCGCGACGTATAAAAAGATGCACGATTTTGCAAGAAACGCCAAAGCACGAAAGCAACAAAGAACACTTGTCTATGAATTCCTGTAAGCTCGTCGACGCGACAAAAGTGTCAACAATACCGTAGAACACAAATAATTGTAATAAAGTGAACATGCAAACGGAGTAAAGATTGTACAACCAATATTTCCACGAGTTGACAGGAAAATGCACCGGTCTCCAATAGCCGGTGTAAGTGAACAGAGCAAATGACACTGGAAGTATATGCATTATTCCTTGTCAGTAGCTCCCTATATCTCGATTATCGTGGCATACATTGAGTTTATGTCTTAATAACAGCTTTTTTATCATAAGAAATTGTATGTCGTCGTCGGTGTTATCGTAGATAAATGCTTTTGTCTCGAGACGGAAAAATTTTCAGAATATTAAAAGTCAGAAATAGTTCGTCGCAACATAGGGGTGAAAGAGATGATTTGTATACATTACAGACGATCATTTTCTAATATAACGCACTTTCTTTCCGTGTACATATTTATCGTTTATAGTTTCCTGCGATAAGAGTTTCTATAATGATATGCAACGAGACATAGGTACTATTAAAGTATATTATCCCGTACGCGCAGACATTACAATTTCCTGTATAACAATTATTTCTATTATTGCATTTGCAACTAAACAAATTATTCATCTAGAAAGTTGCTCTCGCAACTTGTAATGTAATTACTTAAATAGTTTAGAACAAATTGAACATGAGGAAAAAACTTAAGAAGAGATAGAAAAATTATATAGTATATTATATGGTAAATATTTCTTTTTATCTTATACAATTACAAACTATCCGTTGCTATCTGTCCATGTGCAAAATATAATTTAATATCATAATTAAAAAGAAATAAAAATCTTTTTGTGGAATGTTATATTTTATTTAATAATATATATATTTATTTTTTAAACTAATTATATAGTAGGTCAAAATTATGTAATTACATTTTTTTATATTGCTAATTTATGCAAGTTTGCTCTACATTTATAAATTGTGGATAGAGCATATCTCATGTATAAAAATTTATAATTTCAACATATGTGCAGTATATTATTTTCTATGTATTTGTATGTTTTCGAAGTGTTGTTTTATGGATTCTGAAATGCCCTGTATAATGCTATACATATAAAATGTATTATACAGATATACAGATCATAGTTTCAATAATTTAAAAAAATAAAATCATAAAATCATAAAAATAGAAACATAGTTTAACATATATTTAACAAGTAAACGAAGAGATAAAAGAGAAAGAGAATAAACCTAGCAAACTACAGCATCGGCCACAACGAGATAAATCAACTAATTACCGAATCTCTGACAAAGATAGTGATTTAACTAACATCTACATATTCTTTTTCTACGATTTGAATTATTTCCTCATTCTTGAAGGCTCACTCATTATGTTGAGTTATGGAACTCAATGGCTTTTAAGGCTACGCAAATACTAAATAAGGCTTGTTAGTAAGTATCCTACGAAAAACGCCTGAACAGCCACTTTCAGGCTTCACTCTGATAATACCAATTGCAGCACATGTCAGTTTCGAGATGATTATAGCAAAGAATTCATAATTTCCGACTGTTGGTAAAAGATTTTGATTTTATAAATTACAGAAGAAAAACAATATAAACATTGTAAAGCATTATAATATTTTGTACTTCAACTTTCTTTTTAAATATAAAAAATATATATATTTAATTTTGACAAATAATTAAAAAAATATATACCTATACATCTATTATAAAATTTCTATTTGACATTTACAATTAATATTTATTTTATAATAATAATTTACTTTATAATACTTTTAAAATACTTGATTTAAATAATATATTTTTTTAGAAAATTCATCAAGTCTACATAAATTTAAATTGACCTAGATGCGAGAACAGTATTGTTTTTGTTGTTCTCGTTGCCAGTTTCCCATATTATATTCATAGTCCATAACTGCACATGTAATGACAATGTAACTGCAAATGATACATTTTCACGGTCGGCGTGCTTTTGTCGAAAGAGAACGAGAGAAAATACGAATGCCAGACGTTCGTGTATATCGATTTTGAACCCCGGATGGCGTCAGATGTTGTAACAACCGGATGACGTCTTTATACAAGAGCGTAAAACATGCAAACATAATTTTGCTTTGCTACTTTATTACTGTATTATTTTATTAATTGTTCTAAATTGTTTAATTCCTTAATACTATTATTTCCTAGTTTCCTGTAAAAAAATAGCAACCCTTACAGCTAGAAAACCATACAAAAATAATAACATAAATTATACAAACTATATAAATTGTATAGTTGCATTTTGTATACATATATTAAATACTTGCCCTAAAATATGTTAAATAAAAAAATGCATATATATGCAAGATGAAAACCGCGAACTGTCACGTTGAAACGTTTGACAGTTTAAATAGAAATAATCTATGATCTTTCTTCCAGTTTATTTCAATTTTCCAAAGATGTATCTCACATTATTCCTTTGAAAGCGGCTCTTTTCGGATAATGTGAGATACATCTTTTGAAAATTGAAATAAACTGGAAGAAAGATATTTGCCTGAGAGACAGACCCCGAGCAGATACGGCACTGATCTGAGCTGACTACTAGTAGCTCCTACGCTCTGCGCCGCGTCAGTACATGCGGGCTCGCCGCAGCGTGCGAACCAAATTTTTCTGCGGGTGTACGTCTCTTTCCCGTCCACCGTACGGCTTTTACTCGTTTTCGTTGACTCGCGATAATTGCGTGCTAAATTTTCGATAAGTGGCTGGGGAAGATTTCACACGCTTTACGCGAATTCCTGGCAATTTGTTGGCCAAGATTTAATCAGGGCTCAGAAATATCGAGAGAATCATGCCAGCGGACGCCGAACTCAGTAACCTGCTCAACAGACGGCAAAGGATCAACGACGAACTTGAGGAGGGCAAAGAGGTGAAGAAGCAGTACAAGTTTGTAAATGTTTACACCGAGTTTCACGAGTTGTCCCGCCGCGAGATCAAGCAATACGAGCAGACCTTCAACAGGTGAGAGTGCCTTTTTTAATTTCTTATTTACGCGCGTTAATGCAATTGAAAAATATCAGTGATGATAAGCCGGAGCCAACTGTGTTTAACATCTCAAGGCTTAACTTTATTATTTTAAAATGGGATTTGTGAAATTAACAGAGTTTTTCTGAGATGAAAGATATTTTTAGAAAGTAATGGATTATTATTTTATATCAGAGTATATTAATAATGCAAAATAAATAGTATATATTAACGTAAATATGTATAAGTATATATTCTATCACTGAATATTTATTTTAATTAAAACAATAATTATATAAATTATAAATATACTATATTATTATATATGTATATAGATATAGATTTTGTGTATATTTCATATACGCTATATAAAATGTTTCAGAACTTTGAAATTTCTGTTTACTTTTCTAATAAGTACGTAAAAAATATGCTTTTATGACACGAAGAAAAGGCAGTCGCGAAAATGACCTCCAACTGTTAAATACTCGAGCTATATATAGTGTTATCAACTTAATAGGCGCACTCTGTCTAGCTGCTTATTTTTACAAGTCAGCCTGGAATAAGATACACGTAATATAATCAGATGAAGATAAATTCTTTTTCATGTTACAAGATTTATCGTCATTGGAATAAAACATTCGCAAATCGTTAACGACAAATACTTTAGAATCAATAGACTCGCCTGATTGTAAGCAAATTTATTTTACAATGATATCGCTATCGCTGACATAACGATCATTATCACTCTTTCAACCATTCATTCGGTGCGTCATGACATATTTCTTTAAGTACTGCCTTTTTTAAATATAGTGCATAATTTGAAAAGGTAAGGTTTTATCTACATATATTTTTTTGTATATCGTGATGCCTATATATCTGTGATGTATCTAGATAACAGATACTATATCTGTTTATTTTGCTTATAATTATTCTTGCTCATAATATAATGCTATATTACATTTGCATCATATTGTTCATACTATCAATTTCATTTATGACATGTGCTATCCGAATAATATGAATAAAGATAATATAAATAATATTAGATAATGAAGAGGATGTCGATAAAAGAAAGTTTAATTAGTATACACGAGTCAGCTCGATCGAGCTTGAAATGTGTCAGATTCAATCTCTGTTTGCTAATTTTGTGCAACTGCGTTGTTGAGCTGCACGCGATATTTTCCATTAATAAGCTTTGTTGTCTACATGACCCAGTGTACAATTTCTCTTGCGTGTCGAATGTCTTCGTTAGACTCTCTTTACGAATCCCTGTGGTTGGAAATAAAAGATATTCTCATGTCGCCGAGATTTTCTAATCATTAATCTGACAACATTCCGCTATCATCACTGCTATCATTCGATCACACCCGTCTTTTATGCGATAACAAACTATGTCACAAAAGCCAGGAAACATATCATTCGAGTATTATAGCAAAATTAATCACGCACTTATCGCAAACCAAATAGTCGACTACCAAAAATACATCATAATCGAATGTTAACTACAGTTTTCACTCTCCTACACAGTAGAAAAATTTATGTGTTAATTTAACTTAAATATATTGCTGTTGTGTTAATTAAACTTAAATGTTAAATTATTAAAACAATTGAAAAAAGATGTAAAAATAACACAATGTGCATCTATTTTTAATTTTACACAATAAATATGTTCTGCTTTAATGACAAGATTTATCTGTTAAAATTTACAGAAAAAAATGTTAATTTTTTATTTTATAACATAAGTGAGGATAATAAAATCTAAAATTAACATATTTTTAATTAATTTTTACATAAAATTTATTTTAAATTACTTGAAGTTTTGCATTTATTTTCTCCATTTAACATATCCATATTACGTTAAATTAACACAAAAATTTCTGTGGACCGTTTGGGACATGTGATAAATTGAACACAAATTTAGTTGATTTATTGATCATTACCTGTTTTTAACAAAAGATAAAGAATTTAAAAACAAATGTATGTCTGTCTCCTTTTGTGTGTTCGTTCCTCGCAATATCTGCGAAGGTATACCTGAGCATCAAGACAGTCACCCTGTTCTTCAGCCGCGTTGTCAAACCTGCTACCAGGTTGACTCCGAAATACCTGCCTACTCCGAGACACAAAGGGCATAGATGCCAAGAATCGTGGTGGAGGGGACCCGGCAGGAGGCCCGCAGGGACCCCGAGGTCGTCTGTTCTCTTGCGTTTCTTCTCTCGAAGAAATGCACGTCACGAATCTCTCGACGTTCGCGGTTTCGTAATGACCAAGCATGCGATTCTCCACGTCTCTGCGATTTTCTCCTTTCTCGGCGCTCCTTCATCGGAAAATTACATCTCTCTCTCTTTCTCTTTTCGTTAATAAATCTTCAAAACAGTATGTATAGACAATATGTCAGAATAGATGTCAAAAAACACTCGTTTTTCGTCGAAAATTATTCCCAGGGAAAATACGATAAACAATCGAAAAAAAGAACTGAAGAAATAAAATCAAGGCTGATATTCTTAAAATGATCAACTGGCTAATAATGGTAAAAATATTTTATTTCTTCAGTACGTTTCGACCTTGAATTGGGTCCTCTTCAAACCTCCGATTTATTAAACCTCTGAAAAGGACCCAATTCAGGGTCGAAAGCTGAAGAATTTAAATAAAATATTTTTAGCCAGTTGGTCGTTTTAAGAATATCAACCTTGATTTTAATTTTCACTGGCAAGCAACCTACTTACTTTGAATTAATAAAATTAAATTGATGAAAAATAAGAAATTCTTGAAGTTACGGATATCTTAGCGTAATCATTATTAATCGCTAAAGTAGATACATAAAAAATGTTAATGAAAGATTAAGTGAGATTTTCAGAGAATTTAACGGGATCTTGCTCGAAGATTGAGCATTAGATATTAAGCCGAAGCTGTGGATATCGAAGCGAAGAATGCAGATATTTCGGAGAAAATACGTCGTCGTGTTCTTACGATTTATCGAGAGACCCGAGGTTACAAACGCAACCGGTTTCGCAGCTAAAAGACAAGGACGACTTCTTGGACAAACGCGCGACATAAACGAACAACAATCATCGGTCCTTCCGGATGACGTATCGCAACATCCACGCAACATACGCACGTGCGCGCTGCGGGCGACAGAGAAACTCTCGTGCCGTTATTGAGAAATTTTCGCCTTACGGGTATTTAAACAGAGAGGAAAAGTCGATCAAAGTCGTAATGTTTAAGTATCGAAGTGATGTTGCGTTTATAAGTAAGTGCAGAATAATATGTGAATTTAATGTATAACGCGTTAAAGTTACCGGTAAACATTTATTCTCAATTATTACTCATTAAAATGCTCTAAAAATCTCGTTAATATTCTCGTAATTTTTATATCGACTAATGACACTTAGAATATTTATTATTTTGTATGCGGTAAAAAAAAGATAGCATTTCTCAGCCCGACAAAACAAAAATATCAACCTTTCTTATCACGATTTATCGCGGAATTTGTGGCATCTTCTGATTCTCCTAATAGAAATCGAACCAAAATAATTCTTCTCTTAATCAGTAACTTGATACATTCATTAGCCAGACAGAAAGAGAACCGCTATATCGTTTGCAAAACTAAATATACACAACGTCTGACTGTGATTTTAATTTAACGACACGCGATAATATACTCGGATGCATACCACGTAGGTTGTTATCTATCCAACACTTCCTGTATATCAAACACAAATCACAGTCGAAAATATCTGCACTGGATATGCCAATCTCTCGAGAAATTTGCTACGGAGATCTACAGGAAGCTCTTTAGAGGGGCTCCGAAATCGGACCCCTGGTTGACCCTCCAATTAGGTCGTAGACCGAAGACTCACATCTCAATTAACTGTTTAAATTTGATCCCGTAACTAATTTAAAGAGTTCGGAAGTCAACGTGACATCCGGTGTCCCTTCCGGTTGTTTTTTCCATCCTGTATAATCAGCGCAGTAGATTGGTCCCATTAATTTAGTAAATTTAATTTACAACACAAAAACAATAGGAGACTCAATACTAAATAATTGTATATTATTTCTTCTCTTTTAGAAATTCATTCCTATGTATTGTATGCATTCTTTAATAATATGTGTATTTTTAATGATGTATAGTAGCACCCACACTTTTTTGGACGAGATAGAAAACTTACTGAGAGAAAATGCATTTATACTATTATCGAGAAATTCCTATCGCAAAGTGCACTGTGACTCGTACGAGGTCGAAAGTCGAGATTTCTACGGCTTGATTGAATGCAGCGTGTTTAACTTTCTCCGTCACAATGATACCGCAGTGAGATGTGATCGATTCACTTTATACCGCGTATGGCAAAACGATGACCTTAACCCTTTCGTTGCTAAGTAGGTGAATGCATATATGCATTTGAGATATGTACTCTTGGAATCGATATCTCCGCGTACAATATAATGAACACTTTCCGGAAGACAGAAAATAGCATTTCGAAATATTTCATATTTTTCCAGAATGCTTTCACGAGAAATATTTTTATTTCAGTGCGGATTATTTTTTAATCATTTAATAATTGTGTGGAAATATTTTGCAAAATTTTAAAAATATTTTTAGGCATTTTTGATTTTAATCTTTTTTCACATTTTCCTTTTTCAAAAACGAAAAAAAATTCGTAGATGCTTCCGTCGGCATGACAAACCGTTATTTCTCGAAGAAATCGCGCGTCCCGAATATATAAACGGCATAAGAATTTATTCTACGACTCGGCTCAACAACGATGAACTCGGTATTCCTATCACCAACACCGCTAGACATTTTAAATAATGTTTCATTGATGGGAAAAGACGTAACATTTCACGAACGACATTTATCCCTGCTTAGGAAATTCTTCCACGGCTCACAATGCACGATGAGATTCCTTTAACTTTGCAGAATTCTAGTTTCTGCACACTGTATATAAACTCTTTCTTTCTTGCAATCTCACACATTAAATCAGTCCTATATTTTTCGAAAG